CTTTCCCTCCCCCATCTATTTTCTTTCTTTTGTTCTTTCTTTCCACCTTCCTTTCCCTCCCTCCTCCCTCCCTCCCTTCCATCTTTCTTTCTTTCTCTCTGTCTTTCTCCCCTCCCTTCTGATCTAAAGTTAAATGTGTTCTCCAAGTTCCATCATACCGGCTGGCTGGCTTGGCTCGTACAAGGCATTTGTCTCTTTAAATCCCTTCGCCAAGCTGGCATGGCAGTGGGGGTGGAGGGCTTTGAGAACACATTTAAAGTTAAAGGCATTCTCCAAGCCCCCACCCTGTGGCCCCATCCGCCGGCATGGAGAAGGCATTTGCCTCTTTAAATCTCTTCTCTCCCTCCCTTTCCATTTATTTGATTTCTTCCCACCTCTCTCTCTCTTTCTCTCTCTTCCTTTCTCTCTCTCTCTTCCTTCCTCCCCTCCTTCATCTATTTTCTCTCTTTGTTTGTTTCTCTCTCTCTTCTTCCCCCTTTTCCCCCATCTATTTGCTTTCTTTCTTTCTGTTTCTTTCTCTCTCTCCTTCTTTCTTTCCACCTTTCTTTCTCGCTACCATCCTTCTATCCTCCCCCTCCATTTGCTTTCTTTGTTTCTTTCTCTGTCTTCCTTCTTTCCTCCCCATCTATTTACCTTTTGTTTCTCTCTCTCTTTCTCTCTCTTTTCTCCTTCCTTCTCCCATCTGCTTTCTTTCCACCTTTTTTTCTCTTTCTTTCTCTCCCTCTCTCCCTTCCTTCCTTCCCCCTCCCTCTTTCCCCATCTATTTGCTTTCTTTGTTTCTCTCTCTCTTTCTTTCCACCTCTCTCTCTTCATAGATAAATACCATTAGTAAATACCATTGGACAAATAAATATCATTAGCAATGTTAATAAAATGCAAATTTGCATATTTTTCAATAAAAACATGTGTAATACTTGTTCATGTCTTGTGGCTCTCAAACATCTGACATTTATTCTATGTGGCTCTTACATTAATCAAGTTTAGCCACCCCTGAACTAGATTTTCCTTGGACTTTTTGCATGCAAAGCATATGTGCTATCAATTAGCTACAGCTAGAATTGCCATTAGGGGTGTGCAAAAAAAAATGCTGGTATTTTTCAGCTTCAGGTAAATCAGACTAAAAAATATTCGTAAATGCCAAATTTCCCCAGTCCAATACCTTCAAAGTATTTGGATTGGGGAAATATTTGGTATTGCCAAATATATTCGGGTCTGATATAAACCCCCAGAGGGTAAGGAGGCATGTTAAAATGCCTTCTTTCCCTCTGGGTAGCCCCTACAGATCTGACAGTCAGCTGTGAGTGAAATTGACAAGGGAAAGCCTCCGCTCTCTGCCTTCCCTTCTCTAACTGACATGGGGTAGCTGGAGATGGGCAGGCAGGGAACCCCGGTATGTTTAAAATGCCTTTCTTTCCCTCCCCAATCTGGGGGAGGGAAAGACAGGCATTTAAACACACACACACTTCCCCAAGTTTCTCTGCAAAAGCTGAGAGGCTCAGGGAAGGAAGGGGGCGTGTCTGCATGCCTGCCCTTTGTTTCCCCAGACAACCCGCTGCAGCGGGCTGGCTGGGGAAGCAAAGCACAGGCATATTTAAAATGCCTTTCTTTCCCGCCCTGATCTCCGGGAGGGAAAAAAAGCTATTTAAACCCAACAACTGACTGGCGGCTCAGCCTGTTAGTTTAAACGAGACCTTTTCTTTTGGTTATAGCTAAATGAACCTGAAAAAAGCCGGATAATATCAGCCTTTTCGGGTTGAACTATACCAGTAGCTGAATACAAATCTCTGTTCTGTATTTAGCTTATATGATATTCGAAAAATACCAACAAGGTATTTTTGGGGTATTTTTTTGGTTTGGCTATTGCCAAACGCACACTCCTAGTTGCCATCCTCAAGATGGGGTCTGGAATTCTTCTGGAATTACAGCATCTCCAGACTACAGAGACCAACTTCTGGGGTGGACTCTATGGCATCACATCCCTGCCAAACTCGCTCCAACACTCTGCCTTCCCCAGGTACAGCCCCCCATTCTCCAGGAATTTCCCAAGATGGTGGTGGCAAACCTAGCTACAGACCCTTTCAGGATACCTATAAGGAGAAGGATTTTTAGTCATCAGGGACAGGACTTCAGTACTCTGTAGCTTTGCCCCTCCTATGACTAGCACCTGCAGAATAATTTATACAAAGAAAATCTATGTAAATTGACTTAACCTGCATGATTAATGTAGGCCACAGAATTCACATTTTCTTCTCAGATTTGTGTTACTATGGTAGAGGATATGGAAGAGTAGAGGGGATGTCTTGGATCTTAACTGTACCCCTTCTGACCTCAAAGAATTATAATGAGGTAATATTGAATGAAAGGTGAATTGCACATAATAGTCCTTTCAGATCTGGGACAAAGTAGATGAAGCAAAGGGCGAAAAGGCCACACTTGCTTTTCCTGTTTCGTGGATGACCATTAGGCTTGTGGGAGTCTGAGCTCTTGTTGTATAGTTCATGTTCCTAGAAGCCCCTTGATGGGTAGCTCTGTAGTCTACTGTAAATATTATGGTTGGACTTGAACGAGAGTCCATTGAGGAACATTTCTTGTAGAAGTCGTACATCATGAAATCCCAGAAGCCCCCCCAGAAGTAAGTGAAGAGAATATTAGATTTCTGACCTTTTACTTCTCGTTTTGTCAGAAGCATTTGTGAGGAGTCCTTCCTGTATGACACTGATGTATGGTTGAGGGGTGGCCATAATGGTGAACGGCCACAGAGAAGCAGAGGGAAAGTGGAGGTTGCCTTGCAGTTCCCAAGATTCACCTCTCATTGTCTCTTTCTTACAAGTTTCTATTCATCCCTCGGCTGTCTTCTCGTTATTGTGTGTGGTCCCTTCACGAGGCAGAGCCATTTATTACCAATTGCATGCCTGCCATGGTTAGTGCTGTTATGATAAGACCAAGTTAAATATTTCTTGCCCCAGAAAGGCATACAGTAATTTGTAAAATATGACATGGGTCTGAGGCCTATTCCACCCCAGAGATATGAGAACAGAGCCGAATTGCAAGTTGCGAGGGTGACTTAACAAATGGTTAAGATATTGGTGGTGGGTTTTTTTTTAAAACCAAGGTTCAGCAAGAGTTTATGTAGCTTAACTTCTCTCCAACCCTTCGCTCTTAAGATGCCTCCCTTCTATTTTCAGCCTGTCATTTCCTAAGAATGCTCGTCAGCTGCCAGACACAATCATTTGTAATTCTGGATGCTTAAGATCCGTCCTCTTTATTCTTGGGTAGACTAGCTTGGCTCTGTGGACTGGACCATGCTTTATTATTTAATAAGGTGGCAACACACATTGGCAGTGGTGCCAAGGCGCCTTCCCATTTCCTGCTTGTTCAAGATGGTGCTTGTTTTAGCATGTTAGGAGACTGCTTTTCATGCATAGAGGACAACAGGTAGTTTCCTAAGGAAATTTTGGAACTGCGAAGGGATGTCTGTTGGGGGGGGGAGCTGTTCTTGGTACACAAGGACATCCTTCATATGGATGCACCCCATGACAGCCTCCACTGCCTCCCTTCCATAGACATCCCTTCACAGCGTGTTTTGCTTCTGTGTGTGCAATTTTGGACATACCCCTAATCACAGCCATCCCCATCCCAACCCCCGTTCTTCAGATCAGAAGTTTCAGCAACATTCTTGGGGTCTTTTCATGCAGGAAAGTGTCTCAGGGTAGGGAATATATGTACGTGCATATGCAGAGGTCATTTCGGGGGGGATCGCGGGGGATCGCAGTTCCCCCGGGTTA